GAAAAAAGTAATAAATGTACATACAAGTAAAAAAAAAATGTGCATTTACTATCTTTTTTTTTTTTTTTTATTAGTAGACAGGAATGCAGGTCTTCTGCAGACTGTCAGTGTAAGCTGTCTGCCCATACCTCGTACAGGCAGGCAGTTACACAATGGCAGAAGGAATTTAATGAAGTACCAAGAGTGCTCACCAGCGCCCTGGTAGTTCTTTGAGTACGACAAGCCGTCAGCTGCAAAGGAGAACACTGTGAATGAATGATACAGCCACATGGGTGGAGCCTGCACGGCCGTGCTCTTTGAATTGTGACAGCAGGTGCTGGGAGAAGATCCCTGGCCCACTGTCACAAGGTCGGGGGGGATTGGGATGCGGATGCAGAAGCAGGAACATGTTACAATCCACCCTAAAAACAGGTGGAACATGTAACATGTTCCCAAAGGTGCACTTATCCTTTAAAAAAAGTTGATTTTTTTAATTTTACAAGTCTGTAGGTCATTCCTGATACATCACCATTTCAAAGAATCTTCACCTTTTATTCAAAAATGCCATCCTTGGGCTCCAGTCAGTGACTTTGCCTAGGTTGAGATGATGTCATCAGTCTGCTGCAGGCAGGATGGAAGCATTTCCTTAATCTCCCCTCCCACAGTGATCAGACTACAACATTGTCATTTTGTACCAAGTCATAAAGTGACGGGCTGCAGCAGGGGCTGATCTGTGTCATACATTTGTGAACAAAAACTGTACAGGCTCCAGGATTTACATAATTTGTGTCATCTCTGAGCCAGTATCTCAGTCCAGGAAATAGATAATGCCTGAACAAAAGATGGTATCATCATTCAAAGTATAAAAGCAAATGAAGGCATTGTCAGGGGGTGTACTGTAATCTCTGTGAAAATGAATAAATACCTGGAAATGTTACAATGACACATTACTCAGCATACTGCACTTAAATAAACGATACATAAATAATATATCTGATGTCAGGTCCACTTTAACTTTTTTTCTTAGAGTTTTTAAAGTTTCCTATTAAAACAAAAAAGTATAATATATTTTTTTTCTTTTTTGTCTATATTTTTTGTTTTTTTTCTGACCAGCAGGGGGTGCAGACCACTCCACACCGCGTTGCAGAGACTCGGGAGGAAAAAAAATGCCAGTTTTAGCAGACAGTCGTGATCAGGGTGCAGAAACAGGGAGATGACAATGAGAGATGGAGGGAAAAGGAGGACAAGATTTGTTCAGGGGGGGGGGGAGGACGCAGCGCGGGCAGAGCGAGAACAGCCAGAATCAAGACTCTTATTAACCTAATTAAGCTCCACACTAGTCTCTGCAGACATGGCGATGTGCGCCGCTCTGGCACATAACGGGTTACACCAAATTTATCAGCCAGAAAATTAAAAGATATTATCTGTTTTATCCCCCAAAAATGTTTTCAAAACTTCACATTCTGTAAGTTTACACAGTCATCGTTACTTTTTAACCTCCATTGTTTTAAAAATGTTTTAAAATCCTCATAATTTACAACATTCATAGTGCCATGTTCATGTGTTTAATTATAAAGTCTAATTTGCTTATATTATGCCTTCCCTGGCCCTCCCCTCCCCCTAATCAATGCTAATGACATTAAAAAAAAACCTGTTTTCTTTATATAACATATTTTAGACCCAGTGATTTAATTACTGGGTCTCAGTGCTGTTCTATGCAATGCAGGCAGTTCATGGCTGGAGGGAGGGACTGTACATAGCTTCCTAAAAAACATCATAAACACCATGCCTCGGTACTCCTCTCAAGAGCCTTTGGGCTCGATTCAAACAGTGGGGGGGGGGGGGGGGGGGGGGTTATGCAAATATCAAAGCACCCTGATGGGAGGATGTAATTCTGGAATAGTTGGCTTTTCTAGGCAGGTTGTATTTGCATTCAGACTGCCTTAGCGTTGTGATGCTGAGCCTCCATAATTGATAGAGCTGAAATCCAAAAATCTGACTGGCCAGGGACAGTCAGGCTGGAGAGGAAACAGCTAGATGGTGCTGGATGTCCTCCAGCCTGGACTGTAGGTAGGTTCCATCTGACATGCTGCAGCTTCTAATGCACATTGTGAGAAGCTCACAGCGTGCAGTGAAATCAGAGTCAATCATTTCAGTAGAGGAGGAGAGGAGCCTGTACAACTGTGCAAGACTGAAGAGAAGGATGAAGCTTTAAGGCAGTGGTCTCCAAACTGTGGCCCGGGGGCCAGATGTGGCCCTTTGTTTGCTTTTATCCGGCCCTTGAGGAATTTTCCCCCCCACTGTCAGCAACAGTGCGGCATAGTTCCTGCCACTGACACCAACAATAGGGTACTAGTCCTCTCACTGATATCAACGATGGGACAATATCCCTCCCATTGATAACAACAAATACAGTACAATTCCTCAGATTCATACCAACAACGGGGCACTGTTACTCCCACTAATACTAATAATGGGGCACTGTTACTACCCCACTAATACCAATGATGGGGGGCACTGTTACTACCACTAATACCAATGATGGGGGGGCACTGTTACTACCACTAATACCAATGATGGGGGGCACTGTTACTACCACTAATACCAATGATGGGGCACTGTTACTACCACTAATACCAATGATGGGGCACTGTTACTCCCACTAATACCAATGATGGGGCACTGTTACTCCCACTAATACTAATGATGGGGCACTGTTACTCCCACTAATACTAATGATGGGGGGGGGATTAGGGCACTGTTACTCCCACTAATACTAATGATGGGGGGGGCACTGTTACTCCCACTAATACTAATGATGGGGGCACTGTTACTCCCACTAATACTAATGATGGGGGGGGCACTGTTACTCCCACTATATACTAATGATGGGGCACTATTACTCCCACTAATTACTAATACTAATGATGGGGGGCACTGTTACTCCCACTAATACTAATGATGGGGCACTGTTACTCCCACTAATACTAATGATGGGGGGGTACTGTTACTCCCACTAATACTAATGATGGGGCACTGTTACTCCCACTAATACTAATGATGGGGCACTGTTACTCCACTAATACTAATGATGGGGCACTGTTACTCCCACTAATACTAAATGATGGGGGGCACTGTTACTCCCACTAATACTAATGATGGGGCACTGTTACTCCCACTAATACTAATGATGGGGGGGGGGGTACTGTTACTCCCATAATACTAATGATGGGGGGGCAATGTTACTCCCACTAATACTAATGATGGGGGGGCACTGTTACTCCCACTAATACTAATGATGGGGCACTGTTACTCCCACTAATACTAATGATGGGGGGGTACTGTTACTCCCACTAATACTAATGATGGGGGGGCAATGTTACTCCCACTAATACTAATGATGGGGGGGCACTGTTACTCCCACTAATACTAATGATGGGGCACTGTTACTCCCACTAATACTAATGATGGGGCACTGTTACTCCCACTAATACTAATGATGGGGCACTATTACTCCCACTAATACTAATGATGGGGGGGCACTGTTACTCCCACTAACACTAATGATGGGGCACTGTTACTCCCACTAATACTAATGATGGGGGGTCGGTACTGTTACTCCCACTAATACTAATGATGGGGCACTGTTACTCCCACTAATACTAATGATGGGGCACTGTTACTCCCACTAATACTAATGATGGGGGGGTACTGTTACTCCCACTAATACTAATGATGGGGGGGCACTGTTACTCCCACTAATACTAATGATGGGGGGGGGCACTGTTACTCCCACTAATACTAATGATGGGGCACTGTTACTCCCACTAATACTAATGATGGGGCACTGTTACTCCCACTAATACTAATGATGGGGCACTGTTACTCCCACTAATACTATGATGGGGGGCACTGTTACTCCCACAAATACTAATGATGGGGCACTGTTACTCCCACTAATACTAATGATGGGGCACTGTTACTCCCACTTATACTAATGATGGGGCACTGTTACTCCCACTAATACTAATGATGGGGAACTGTTACTCCCACTAATACTAATAATGGGACACTATTCCTTCCACTGACACCAATTATGGGGCACTATTCATCCCACTAACTCCAATGATGGGACACTATTACTCCCATTGACACCAATAATGAGGCATTATTCCTCCGTACAGTTTGGAGGATAGTAATCTGGCCCTTTGTTTAGAAAGTCTGGAGACCCCCGCTTTAAGGGGTTGGTAATCCTAATCCAAATTGGGGACAAGGGATTCCCTATTATACAGGCCATAGACGGGTCGTTAATCAGTCGAATTTTCGTCCACTGAAAAATCGGCCGATATTCACGCCGTTAGTGGGGCCAGCCCGTCGGCCGTTTTTCGCGGATCTTCTCATTTAGTTTTATTGGTCATGCTGGAAAATCTGCACAAAAAAACGGTCGTTTTTAGTGGACATTGGTGGCAGCATCGGCAACGGGGCCGACCGATTTTTCGTTTATCGGCTGGATGGCCTGCGTTACAGCCTGCTGAGAGCTATCACTTTACTAATAACCAGTACAGCAGCTACAGCATAGATAGGTGACTTACAGTGCCTTGAAAAAGTATTCATACCCCTTGAAATTTTCCACATTTTATCATGTTAAAACCAAAAACGTAAATGTATTTTATTGGGATTTTATGTGATAGACCAACACAAAGTGGCACATAATTGTGAAGTGGAAGGAAAATCAGAAATGGTTTTCAAATTTTTTTACAAATAAATATCTGAAAAGTGTGGCGTGCATTTGTAATCAGCCCCCTTTACTCTGATACCCCTAACTAAAAACCAATGGAACCCATTGCCTTCAGAAGTCACCTAATTCGTAAATACAGTCTACCTGTGTGCAATGTAATCTCAGTATAAATACAGTTGTTCTGTGAAGGTTTGTTAGAGAACATTAGCCACTTCTACTCCACCCTATAGCAGAAATACTGGTACAGGGTGGAACGGGTACGCAAAATCACGTATATATATACATGATTTTGCATTTCCGGGTACTCATACCCGAGCTGTCAATCACCGGTCACTGACACCTGGTTATCGCCGAGTAATTTAGACGAGGGAGAGACCTGTGTATAAACAACACAGTTCTCTGCCCTGTCAGCTCATGCACACTGCTTTGTATGGCTCTGCATAGCAGAGCCATACAAAGCAGTGTGCTTAGAGTGGAAAGCACACACACAGCATACTGTGAAACAGCACACAATTAATCCTTTGATCACCTCACATGGTAAGCCCTTCCTGCCCAGTGCCATTAGTACAGGGTCAGTTCTTTTTATTAGCACTGATCACTGTATCCCCAGTTTCACCCCCCGCGCAGTCCCACAATCCCACTATAAGTCACTGATCGCCACCATTACTAGGAATTTTTTTTTTTTCAAATTGCAGTATATATACCGCTTATTTATAAACTTTCATGTAAATCAATTAATTTTACAAGTATTGGGATTTTGTTTAGCAAAGACATGTAGCAGAATACATTTTGGCCTAAATTTATGACAAAATGTGATTTTTAAATTTTTTTACTGGACATGTTTAATAGCAAAAAGTCAAAAGTATTGTTTATTTCTCAAAATTGTCTGTCTTTTTTTGTTTATAGCGCAAAAAAATAAAAAACCACACAGGCAAGTGGTTAGTGAACAAACAGCACCATGAAGGACAAGGAACACACCAGACAGGTCAGGGATAAAGCTGTGGAGATGTTTAAAGCAGGGTTAGGTTATAAAAAAAATAGCCCAAGCTTTGAACATCTCACGGAGCACTGTTAAATCCATCATCTGAAAATGGAAAGAGCATGGCACAACTTAAACCTACCAAGACATGGCCGTCCACCTAAACTGACAGGCTAGGCAAGGAGAGCATTAATCAGAGAAGCAGCCAAGAGGCCCATGGTAACTCTGGAGGAGCTGCAGAGATCCACAGCTCAGCTGGGATAATCTGTCCTCAGTCGTGCACTCCACAAATCTGGCCTTTCTGGAAGAGTGGCAAGAAGAAAGCCATTGTTGAAATAAAGCCATAAGAAGTCCTGTTTGCAGTTTGCGAGAAGCCATGTGGGGGACACAGCAAACATGTGGAAGAAGGTGCTCTGGTCAGATGAGACCAGAATTTAACTTTTTTGCCTAAAAGAAAAACGCTATGTGTGGCAGAAAACTAATACTGCACATCACCCTGAACGTACCATCCCCACCGTGAAACATGGTGGTGGCAGCATCACGTTGTGGGGATGCTTTTCTTCAGCAGGGACAGGGAAGTTGGTCAGAGTTGATGGGAAGATGGATGGAGCCAAATACAGGGCAATCTTAGAAGAAAACCTGTTAGAGTCTACAAAAGATTTGAGACTGGGATGGAGGTTCACCTTCCAGCAGGACAATGACCCTAAGCATACAGCCAGAGCTACAATGGAATGGTTTAGATCAAAGCATATTCATGTGTTAGAATGGTCCAGTCAAAGCCCAGACCTAAATCCAATTGAGAATCTGTGGCAAGACTTGAAAATTGCTGTTCACAGACGCTCTCCATCCAATCTGACAGAGCTTGAGATATTTTGCAAAGAAGAATGAGCAAAAATGTCCCTCTCTAGATGTGCAAAGCTGGTAGAGACATCCCCAAAAAGACTTGCAGCTGTAATTGCAGCGAACGGTGGTTCTACAAAGTATTGACTCCGGGGGGCTGAATACAAATGCAGCCATACTTTTCACATATTTATTTGTAAAAAATTTTGAAAACCATTTATCATTTTCCTTCACAATTATGTGCCACTTTGTGTTGGTGTATCACATAAAATCCCAATAAAATACATTACGTTTTTGGTTGTAACATGACAAAATGTGGAAAATTCCAAGGGGTATAAATACTTTTTCAAGGCCCTGTATATTGTTTCTTTTGCTTAATTAAAGTTTTATCGTCTCCTTTTGTAGCAGAGTGACAGATCTATATTAAACCTATCTCTAAACCTACTTGCAGCCACATTCTAAAACTAATCTATCTAGCACTGTAAAGAAGACATCGCTATACATACCTGTTCTGCCTGTTCATACCTGTTCTGCAGCCGCTCCAGTCCAGTCCCACAATGAGTTGTCAGCGGTGGCTTCAGTGTGTAGGCATGTGCTGGAGAGGCAGCTGACAACGGAAGCCCCATAGTAACTCTACGGGTGACATTACTTCGTTTACATTTCCGGGTAGGGGGCGCGCACCCTACACGTGCCACCGTTCGCAGCCGCGGCTGTCAATCACGGGGTCCCAGCCAGTGATTACTAGCTGGCACTCGGTGATTGCCGAGCATCTCCGAAGGGGAGGAGAACTGTATGTAAACAATACAGTTCTCCTCCCTGTCAGCTCGTGCATGCTGCTTTGGATGGCTGTGCACAGCACAGCCATGCAAAGCAGTGTGATTACAGTGAAGCACAGACACACAGGCACAAGTAAAACAGCACAGTTAACCCTCTGATCGCCCCTCATGTTAACCCCTTCCTGCCCAGTGCCCTTAGTACAGTGTCAGTGCTTTTGTTTAGCACAGATCACTGTATTGGTGTCACTGGGGATGTCAGTGACACCAAGTCAGTTCCCTCAGTGTCAGAATGCCCGCCACAGTCCCACTATAAGTCGCTGATCGCCGCCATTACTAGTAAAAATAAATTCCAATATCTGTGTCGCCATTAGTAAACACTAAAACTTTCACGTAAACCATTTAATTTACACGTATTGGGAATGTTTTTTAGCATAGACATGTAGCAGAATACATTTTGACCTAAATTTATGACGAAATTAGATTTTTTTAAACTGGACATGTTTAATAGCAAAAAGTAAAAAAAGACTGCTTTTTATCAAAATTGTCGGCCTTTTTTTTTTATAGAGCAAAAAATAAAAAAACACACAGGCAATCAAATGCCACCAAAAAAAAAGCTCAATATGTGGGAAAAAAAAGGATGTAAATTTAATTTTGGTGCAATGTTGCATGACCGCACAATTATCAGTTAAAATAATGCAGCGCCGTAACGCAAAAAATGGCCTGGTCAGGAAGGGGGGTAAGTCCTCAGGAGGGCAAGTGGTTAAGGTTTACATCTTACTTTTAAATAGCACTTGTCTTTAGCAGAATTTCTTAAAAAAAAGTAATTTGTAGAATTAGAGGTAAGTATTTACCTGTAATATCTGGACTGCAGGTAGGTAGAACACACAGCTTTAGACACATGACTTGCTGAACCAAAGTCTATAACCTTCACCCTGTATGGCTGCCTGGAAGGATCCACCAGCATGATGTTCTCTGGTTTCAGGTCCGCATGGATCAGTCCCAAACTCTTGAGCTTCATGAGCGCAGTGGCAACCTGCTGTAGCACAGGCCTGATGTACTTCAAAGGCAGTGGACTGAACTTGTTCTGCTTCAGGAAGTCATACAGGTTCTGTTCCAACATCTCGAAGACAAGGCAGGTGTGATTCTTGTGCTGGAAACACTCATACGCCCTCACGAAGTTGAAATCATCTGCACTCTCCGTACTGAGCCGCGCCAAGATGCTGACCTCGATCTGCCCTTGCCTGGCATAGGAGGGGTGGTTCTTTAAGATCTTGATTGCCACTATTTCATTGGTGCCCCTTTTCCAGCACTTGACCACCTGCCCGAAGGTGCCCCTGCCCAGGAACTCCAGAACCTCGTAGGTGTTTGTCATGGAGCAGAGGACCTCATGCTGTACCAGTTGGTAGTCTCCTTCGCTATTGGAGCCACTGTTCTTGGAGGTGGCTGTAGAGGTTGTGGCAGCTGTGGCCCCGCTGGCATTGTTCTGGGTCATGGGAGGGTGTTCGTCTACAATCTGGACGCTGCCGTTATCTAGCTCCTCACACTTCCTCTTCAGCCCACACTTCTGGTATGTGTCCAGAAGGCTGACAGTGCTGCGCCTCTCATCAGGTTGGTCTGAGGGCCACCGAGCGACTGAGCGCTCGCTGCTGCTGAGGACCCACTGCTGGACGAGGTCACCACAATGTGACCTGCACTGGTGGGGAAGATGACGGTCTGCTCGTAAGGTGCTTGAAGCAGGGAAGCGTGGGCGAGCACGGGTTGGCCAGTTGTGGAGTTGCTCTTGCCTGGGTTGTAGACCTTGCTGTGGCAGCCGTAACCAGTCATATCCCAGGTGGAGCTTGATTCCAACTTTGGCTTGTTCAAGCTACAAAAGGAGCTCAACGGGAGGCCGCGGGAGGATAAGATTTGCAGTGGTGAGGCCATACCTGCCAAGACAAGAGGATATATTACATTAATGCCACAATGTCCTATTTATGAGAGGAAACTAAAATATAAATGTTAAGGGGGAATCAAGTTAGAGTACATGTAAACCCAACCATTACAATCCCATATGATCTTTGAAAGAAATCTATAGTCACAGCATACATTTTCATATTATAAAATGATTGTAACAATACAAGCAATAGTTATAATTGACAATACAATATAATCTCATTTGCAAGGGAGTCCCTAGGGTTGGTGTCACCCGGGGCGGTAACACTTGGTGTCACCCCTCCAATGATCCCCGCAGGATGGATCGGACCTGCGGATTGAGCATAATGGTTGGGAGTCTGATCCATTATGCTCCCCAATCCGCAGATCAGTCGTCTTTTAACCTATACGCGGTTAACTGATCTCTCCATGAGCTCCACGAAAAGGTAAGTTTTAAAAAAAGCCAACGATCCCCGCAAGATGGATCGGATCTGCGGATTGGGGAGCATAATGGATCGGACTCCGATGCATTATGCTCAATCCACAGATCCGATTCATCCTGCGGGATCGTTGGCTTCCTGTAAAACGTACCTTTCCGTGGAGCGGCTCCGGGTTCACCCCATGCGATAGATGTCACCCAGTGCGGCGGGCACCCCCCGCACCTGCCTAGGGAAGCCACTGCTCACTTGCAAAATCTCATGTTGTGAGTGCTGCCTGTTTGCTGATCATCTCTTTCCACAACTTTCTAGATTCCCTGCATGCTCTGCAGCTTCTCCTCTGCTGTTTACTTTCAATTTCTAAGGACTACATATCCCATGGTACCTTGCTGTTTGCAAGCAGTGATTGCTGTATTGACTCCGCCTCCTGAAACTACTCCTCTCAGCACCTCTGTAGTTCAGAAGGCAGGCTCTGTGAAATGTGTTACACAGCAGTGCCTACTACAGGGCATAGTGAAGACATGCCACAGAAGCCAAGGAAGTAAATATGTGGGGGTCTTCACAAAGTAAGTTTACAAACTTCAAGACCATTCAGAGTATTAGTAGTAGCCTGGAAATACATGACATACAATGTGCAAATGAATATATGATTTAAGATTTTGACCATAGATTTACTTTAAGAAGTAGCATGCACAAATTATAACAATATCTGAAATTGCTCTGAATTATTCTTAATGCTACAGTATTAGGCGTTCCCGTATTACAACAAATATTTACTAAGTATTCTTAGTCCGCCTCATTTTACTCTGAGGATAACAGAGTAGCACACTATAAAGGACGCACACAGGAGGACGCACACGCCTAGTGCATTAACGAAGGTTTATTGTATAAAACAAAATATACAGCCAAATGGATACTCACAAAAATAAAATGTATACAGGCGTTGGAAGAACACTAATCTCAATCTGCTGCGGCCAAACACACCAAAATACTGCACTGGCAAACTGACGTGTTTCAGGGGGACACATCCCCTTCTTCAGTGCTGAACTTTTAACATATTAGGCCCCATTATTACCGCATAGCAGGAGTGAGTGTTCCTGCTCTGCGATTCTGACACAGCGATTTTTACGCAATTCTGAATTTCGCTTATGAGCTTTTGTCGCCTGAAAAGGAGTAACGAGCGCGGCTTGTGAGATCCTATTGCGCAAAAATCACGGGCTAAATCTCATCGTGTTTGGGGTGCTATTGAAAGATAATGGCACAGCACATTGCGCTGCGATTGTCACACGATTTAGGATTGCAGGCAGAATCACAGTGATTCTGACCGCAATCCCAAATCATGTGATGGGAACGGGGGGGCCTTAACAACATTTCAAAATTCGGTTTCAATATTTAGTAATCTGTAGTTTCCATTATAATAACCCCTTGTCATCCTGCCATAAAAGTCCTTATTTAAATATTTCCTGGTATAGGGTGACAACACTCTGTCCCTGTCTCCCAAGTTTTCTTCTTGGTTGTCACCATGTCAACACACATTAAAGCACACATAATCTACTGTTGTCGCCATCAGGTAACCTTCCCTGATAAATGTCATGCAGTCATCACTGGAGTGTACGTAGACAGGAAGAGGTGGCAAAGAGGCTACAGGAGATCAGCAGCACCGATAGATAGCACAAAGGATAAGAAAAAGGCTGACACTGCTACTTTAAGAAAATTATGGCAACTGTTTCTGATACACAGTGCACAAAGCAAACTAAAAGTTAGGGCTTACATCTATTTTATTGCTTTGATTGGTTTTATATACTTTATACTTATTATTATACTTTTATGGACTTTTTTTTTCTCCCTGACTTTGGGACATCTCAATGAGCCCTCACTGGGTGGATGGCAGACCCATTCTAAAGGTATTTGTGTTGTGCCATGTTTACTGCCAGGAACAGTGCCCTTCCCCAGGGCCGCTTTGTGCGGGAACAATGGGGCACGTCTCGGGTGTATGAATTCACAGTCACATAGCCGGCTGTATGAGAGACATTTATATCGGAGCACCAAGCACATGACAAAGGATTCCTCCATATGGGGCTCATTGTCCTCCCAACATTGGATAAAACGTAACCCTTTCCTGGGTACAACCACAACACTGACAGATGCACACTATCACCAATAATTCCTCTGAGCAGCACCAAGTATAGAAGTGTATTGGGGCAGATCTATAACTTCATACAGAAAAACTGTGTGTTGTTGGGGTATGGGCCCACAGCACCGCCGTGCCATCTCTCCTAACAGCCCTGTGTTGTCAGGGTATGGGCCCACAGCACCATGGTGCCGTCTCTCCTTAACAGCCCTGTGTTGTCGGGGTATGGGCCCATAGCACGGCGGTGCCATCTCTCCTAACAGCCCTATGTTGTCAGGGTATGGACCCAGAGCACCGAGGTGCCGTCTCTCCTAACAGCCCTCTGTTGTCGGGGTATGGGCCCACAGCATCGCGGTGCTATCTCTCCTAACAGCCCTTTGTTGTCGGGGTATGGGCCCACAGCGCCGCGGTGCCGTCTCTCCTAACAGCCCTGTGTTGTCGGGGTATGGGCTCACAGCGCCATGGTGTTGTCTCTCCTAACAGCCCTGTGTTGTCGGGGTATGGGCTCACAGTGCCATGGTGTTGTCCTAACAGCCCTCTGTTGTTGGGGTATGGGCCCACAGCATCGCGGTGCCATCTCTCCTAACAATGGGCTCACAGCGCCATGGTGTTGTCTCTCCTAACAGCCCTGTGTTGTCGGGGTATGGGCCCACAGCGCCATGGTGTTGTCTCTCCTAACAGCCCTGTGTTGTCGGGGTATGGGCCCACAGCGCAATGGTGTTGTCTCTCCTAACAGCCCTGTGTTGTCGGGGTATGGGCCCACAGCGCCATGGTGTTGTCTCTCCTAACAGCTCTGTGTTGTCGGGGTATGGGCCCACAGCGCCATGGTGTTGTCTCTCCTAACAGCCCTGTGTTGCGGGGTATGGGCCCACAGCGCCATGGTGTTGTCTCCTAACAGCTCTGTGTTGTCAGGGTATGGGCCCACAGTGCAGCGGTGCCGTCTCTCCTAACAGCCCTGTGTTGTCGGGGTATGGGCCCACAGTTGCAGCGGTGCCGTCTCTCCTAACAGCCCTGTGTTGTCAGGGTATGGGCCCACAGCGTCGCGGTGCCGTCTCTCCTAACAGCCCTGTGTTGTCGGGTTATGGGCCCACAGTGCAGCGGTGCCGTCTCTCCTAACAGCCCTGTGTTGTCAGGGGTATGGGCCCACAGTGCAGCGGTGCCATCTCTCCTAACAGCTCTGTGTTGTCGGGGTATGGGCCCACAGCGTCGCGGTGCCATCTCTCCTAACAGCCCTGTGTTGTCGGGGTATGGGACCACAGTGCCGCGGTGCCGTCTCTCCTAACAGTCCTCTGTTTGGATAAAATCCTTTCTGTCTCCATCTAGTACACACTTGGCTCTGGCCATTATAATTCTGTATGTCTTATATATTATTATGATTTCCAACACAACATAGCTTGAGCTGTTTTATATAGCAATCTGCTTTTATGACTTGAACCTGGAAAGCCTTTGGGGGGCTTGTGAGGGGAAACAGAAAAACAAAGTTTCCAGCCAGTGAAAATATGTTAGTGACGTATATGTGTATAAGTAACGTAGATTGTGGTGATATTCTGTATAATCAGTTTATTTCAGGCAGCACGGAACATGCAAAGTGCAGCTACATTGGAGGGAATGTATCCAGCAGACGGAATGAGGAGCAGCTGTGCATGGCAACCAGTCAGCTTCTATCATTAGTTTGTTCAGAAAAGCAGGCCATACATGGGCCGAATAAATTTTCAATCGAAAACATCGTTTGTTCTGTAATCCGATGGTGCCTCCAATGATTTTGAAAATCGGTCATTTTTCATGAATTTTCCAGCATGGCCGCTAAACGAAATGGGGAGGAACCACAAAAATCGGCCAGTGCCATTGCCCCACTAACAGAGCAAAAATCATCGGATTATTCTTAGGTCTGAAAATCGACCCTGTATGGCTGGCTTTAAGCTTTGAAAATGGAAGCTAGAACTTGATTGGTTGCCATGCACAGCTGCTCCAGATTTTGATTTTCCCAGTTTTGATTAATTCTCTCTTTGCATCCAAAGATTTGAAGAAAATTGCTGATACTCTAACTATAAAGGCCGGATAGGTCCACTTTAGAGTCCAAACAAAATGTCCCCAATGCACACGTTCCTGAAGGTGGCTGTAAATGTAAGAAAGTGGTTGCTGCAGTGACCACCGGCTGGAAACCGAAGACATTCAAAGTGAGAAGAATGTCACCATTACACCATGACCTCCAGAACAGGTCCAAAGCTTTATTCAGTGATCACATCATAGTTACAAAATTGATGTTTTTGGAGATTCACAGGACCCCTTCATCAGGCATGTGACCACATCACATGAAATGTCGCATTTGTAACTATGATGTCATCGCTGAATAAAGCCTAGGACCTGTTCTGGAGATCCTTTGTGTGCCGTGACATACTTCTCGCTTCCAAGTCTACTTTAGAGGGTGCACTGCTGCTTAACAC